GTGTATACCATTCAATCTGCTCAAACGACATCTTTCAAGATCAATCCCATTCTCCTGTCGTAATCTATTTCATATCCATTGAATATTCTTAGTCCATTTCATTGAACAACTGTCACGAGCAACTTCTCTATCTTTCCCACTTCCTGGGAATTTCTCTTTCCCATCTCCAATAAATAGAAATTCATTAACTCGTCATCTACAATAATTAAAATTCCATTAACATGTCAGTAGTCAACCTCGAATTTTTTCCACATCAATCCCAGTTCCTTGCCATCATTAACAACAAGATCATCAACTATTAAAGTGCTCACCGTTCAATCTGCTCGAGCAGCATCTTTCAAAATCAATCATATTCTGCTGTCGTCATCTATATCTGGTCAATCAGATGTTTCTAATCCATTTCGTTGAACAAATGTCACGAACAACTTCCCTATTTTCCCATTTCCCAGGAATTCCTCTCCCTCCTCTCCAATCGATAGAAATTCATTAGCTTGTCATCTACAACAATTAGAACTTTCATTAAAATACCAATACTAAACCTCGAATATTTCCATATCAATCCCAGTTCCTTACCATCGTTAACAACGAAACCGTCAAGTATTAATAGCGTATTCCATTCAATCTGCTCGAACGACATCTTTCAAGATCAATCCCATTCTCCTGTCATCATCTATTTCATATCAATTGGATGTTCTTAGTCAATTTCGTTGAACAAATGTCACGAGCAACTTCTCTATCTTTTCCATTTCCCAGAAATTCCTCTCTCTCATTTCCAATTAATAGAAATTCATTGTCTTGTCATCTACAACAATTAAAACTTTCATTAACATGTCAATACTCAACCTCGAGTTTTCCACATCAATCCCCGTTCCTTGCCATCAGCAACAACAAGATCATCAACTATTAATAATGCTCATCGCTCAATCTGCTCGAGCGACATCTTTCAAAGTCAATCATATTCTCCTATCGTCATCTATGTCTGATCAATCAGATGTTCCTAATCCATTTCATTGAACAAATGTCACGAGCAACTTCCCTATTTTCCCATTTCCAGGAATTCCTCTCTCTCATCTCCAATAAATAAAATTTCATTAACCTATCCTCTACAATAGATTAAAATTGTATAATCATATCAACAACAAATACAAAAGAAATCAGAATATCAAAAGTTAAAAATCATTGTGTAATAAGACCAACAAACATACAATACCTATAATAATTGATCAGATACTTTTAAGTTTGGACTACAAGGAGAATATATCGGAAAAAAGAAAAAAACGCAACTCAATACATACTGTTAGGCAGTACTCTAGCCTGAACTTTCAAAACTTGAAGCTAAATTACATTTTATCACCTCATTAAGAAAAATTTGAAATTTCCAAAAGTGAAAGTTAAATATGCAAAGATACCCTACAAGAGGACCGACGAGGAAAAGTTATGAATGTCAACAAAGCAGCATCCTATTTGGAAACTAGTAAACAGAGAAAAAAGTCCAAAGACTAATTAATAAAATAAGATAGTTCCACTCTTAAATGATACTAACAATTCAAAGAGCAAAAACACACCCCTGAAAAAGTAACCAAACATATTCCCCCAGAAAAAGGAGTAACCACAAATTGAAAATATCAGGTACAATTAGATAATAAACCATCCAGAAAGAATAAGAATAAATCACCCTCCTTAAGGACCACCTCTAATACAACAACACCAAGGAGAATAATAAAACAATTTAGATCCAAATAACCAATCTTACAGACCCCTGTAAAAATTCACACTTGACGTCATACCTTCTAAAACACACAAGAAGATCACAAACTTCTTGAATATGGAACTAACCAAACCAATAGCACTCATAGATTCACAAGATCCTCAATAGACCTAAAAAATTTCAGAATTAAAAATAGAACACACAATGCATGAAGAAAAAATTAAGTACTAAAGGTTGAAAATCAATGAATACCACAATAAATAAATAAATGCGTTTACAATACATACAACACTCAATCAGGTACCTACAAATTTAGTCAATAAAGAACATATTAGAAAAATATTCTGACCAGACAGCCCCTTCAAACAGCTCTCGTTGTACAAAATTTCCAAAAACTCAAAGATAAATTACATTTTCACATCATTAAAAAGAAAATACTTGCAGTTCATGATTAACATCTAACTAACTTACCCCCACTAAACTTTATTTCCTTTGGTCTCTAACCCTACTTGTAACCTCTTTCTCAACGGCTCCTTTCCCCAACAAATTCTGACTGCACACAGTTCATTACTATTCAATATCATGAAAATCACCCCTCTCTATCAATATTAACAAACGTCAACCTCATGCTTATTGACAAATACAATACTGATACTACCATAAATAACTACCACCAGTCCAGAAACCACCATCTCTAACCTCAATATGTCAAACATCAACAACAACCTTTACAGATGTCACTCCATTCCCCACATCCCCAATTGTAACGCCACACTTAACCCCTTCTCATCGCGGGTAATTCAACTTAAAGTATCCCACCAAAAAGAGGGTAATCACACCAACCTCCTCAAACGATACAATTAACTAAGATCATAACCCCAACCAACCTTATTCATATTATCTATAGCCAATTACTCTACTTTACATTGAAACTAAGAAATAAAGAAAAAGAGAGAAATATCTTTATAACATATCCCCACCATACAATTATAAACCACACAGGAAAGGAAGGACAAACAATAGATTGTATATAAAATTTCTTATATATTGACAAACCATGTGTATAAAAATATTTGTACTGTCATTACTCCCACAGGACTCGACAATTCCCTTGCACAAAGAAACCAGGTATATAAGAAAATTTTTATAAAATACTATTACATCAAGTAACACAATTAAAACATCACAACATTTAAATAGCCATCATCGACCAGTAACCATGCAACCCTATCACCTCTAGTCAACCTATTCCTTTGAACTCACGCCACGGCGTTACCAAAGATTTAAATCAACTTAAACAAATAGCTTCTGGATTGACACGAAAACAAAAAATGAAAATATATAAATCTGCCTATATCATTAAATCTACTGATAACAAAAATCATACAATGGTCAAACTCTAGCACACTAACATGAATACTCTACATTCAGCGCATTTCAACGCATCATCAGTAAGAAAAATAATAAAACAAATAAAAGAAAATTAAACCTTTTACATTTACTCCCTTCCAACGTCAAAGACGGAAGATAAATATATATATTCCCTCTCTGTCCTTAGTTTCTTTTAAATATCATAGCACTATATCTTTAGCTAATATCGGCGTAAATCGCTGCTTAATTTCGCGCCAGACATAGTACGGAACAGAAAAACCATTACCAATCAAAGTAAATATACACCGCAAATATCTATTAGGCAGAAGTAACAGAAAAAATAAAAAGTGACTATCAAAAAGACTTCTACACCCAAATAAACTAACAGTTAAACATAAATAATAATTAAAACTACAAAATAAATTGTTCTCCGGTCCTTCGGGGTCGATAACCTTGATCCAGTCCTCAACCTTTCAGCTAATAATCTTGTCTCTCCGTTATGACAAAGTACTCCAACCCCGTTGGTCCATATCCTTAGCGTATAAGAGGAATCGATACGATTCTATCGTTTGGAACTCCTGCAGATCATGGAACATACAATCATTAATTAATTAATACATCGCCGTACATCGTAACAAGCACAAACACAACCCAAGAAGATTCCTCAAACAATTCAGTAATGTCAATTTTAATTTTTCCCCATATAACCCAAGCAGGCGATCCCAAACCCATTCTAAATTTTTAATTTTTAAAACTATCAGCATGACAAAAATAATTTCTTATTCTACTCAACTGACCTGTCTCCCTTCGACTTATTATGTCCACTTCCGTGGCTATTCCTTCCTCCTTCCTTTTTTGCATACATTCTGATCGGCGGCGGTACCGGTTCCGTCGGCTCCTCCAGAGGCAGAGAAATTCTTAACACCGACTCCGTCGAATCCGCGCTTCCTTCTCTGGTCACCGACTTATCCACAGACGTTTCCTTTAAGTCCTGCTTTCCCTTGACCTTCTCCTTCCCATGCGAGAATCCTTCCTCCATCGTGACAGCTGATCTGACCGGCGTCGACATATTCCTTGACGGTGGCCCAACATTCGTATTCACAACCGATTCATTCGGCACCTCGACCTCCATTCCATCAAAGCATTGCAGATCCGCGGAGAGAATGAATTCATCCCCTGCCGCATCGAACGAGCAATTCGCCCCTTTCTGCGTCAGGACTTCCTCGATGTTGGCTGAATCATTCAATCGGACCATCGCACCCGCCTCGTCGGCCAGAACCTCAACCGGATCCAACTGGTTCGCATCGAAGTCATCTTCCGTCACTTCAATCTCTACTGGCTCCCTCGGAGGCCTTACGTTACTCGCCGGCACCACCGTCAAAATGGTGAATCGATGAACCCCGGCTTGATCCAAAGATAACCGATTCCTTTTCCTTCTAATCATTCCTACTGACCGACCCTCCATTTCTAGTGTAATTATTAGCCCAGACCTAGTGTGTTTCTCCCGTACCAGCCTCCACCTTGAAACATCCAGATCGTTGTTGAACCTTTGTAGATTCCTTATGATATTCGCCCCCGTGAACCTCGAGTGTGAGCCTCGTCCCTCCACCAAGAAACGATTGTCCAGCACCACCGTGTCGTCCACCTTTAGTTTGCATCCGCTCGTTAATTTGACAAACTTGATAGCGACTTTGAGCCACTTCACCGTGACCTCGTCTTCGCATGACATCAGAAAACCCCCGTTTTTCCGGAAAAATGATAGAAAACTCGGTCGGACGAACCCAAGCGATTTCCTCTTCCTTGCCTCCGTATAATTAACAACACATTCGTTTAACGCATCACCGAACTCCTCGGCTTCAGCATGCGAGAAGACCCGGTCCGGAAAGTCGACCGGAACTATCGCAACTTGGTGAACTGGTTCGTTATCATCCCTCGAAAACGGTCTATTCATGGCGAACTTCAATTAAACTGATCACAGGTCACGATACACTAGGAAATGGAGAGTCGGCTCAGACGAATGCTGCTCGGCTTCCTCCGCCCGTTCTATTTAAGCGGTTCTAAGGCCTACGCCCCTTTCATACCCTCTCTTCTCACATCAACCCCGGTCCAGAGCCTTCGATTTCGCTCCTATTGGTCCACCAGCATCCCTTCTCGCATCGAGGCATATCCCTCCCCTTTCTCGAACTCTCCTCTCTAGCAAAAATCCTTCGAGAAGATCCCCTTCTCTTTTTCTATCCTTAAAACAAATTCAAATCAATTTTTATCAATCTCCATTTCTTTTAAAAACAATTCATAGAAAGAATTAGCAATATTCATAACTTCAAACTTCGTACCTCATCTTCCTCATCTCTCTGTTATCTCGTATTATTCCTGTTCGTTTCACCCGTCTATTAAACCCACCTTCATTTCTTTGCAATAAAATCTACGATAATAACAACCAGATCAATTCTGCTGTCAGGTACCTTTCTCCTCCCATCGTTCCACGTCAGTTTAAACTCCATTCCCTGCGTAACAACCGTATAATTATTATCCCAACCGAATCTTTGATCAAAAAGTCCATTATCCCCATATTAGATTAAATAAAAATTAATCAATACCTTCTACCGAATCGCTCCAGTTCCAGTCACTTCATTGCAATAAATCATCTCTTCCCAAATAATAACGCCGACCAATCATCAACTACCCTCCCTTCCTCAATTAAACAACCTTAAAAATTTTATATAAAAACTCCTCCTCAATAACTATAAAACATCATTAATAAAATTAATAAATATTCGCAGAAAAACGTTTAAGCCTCAGAAATGCGTTGAATACCATACGAACTAGAGCCCCAGCCAACAGTCATCCCATCTTTACTTAACTATCGCATCCTTTGTAAATTTTGAGAGTAACCAGATGACCGTGTCGCATAAGAATTGCGCAGTTTCCAGCTCCGCTCTCGTTCGAGAGAAAAATTCTTCCACACAAGAAAAGAAAGAAACACTCTTTCCTTTATCACCAGTACAGTCTCCGCCAAAACTTTCTTTCCTTTTTTTAAAAATATATAAATTAGCCATTGATAACCTAAATTTTATCATTCCTGATCCATCTTAACGACTACCCTCATTATATTTCATCCAATCCATTAAAATCTTGTTAATCAGTCACCTTAAAAATTAGATCACACAACTCCCTATTTTATAGGCTTTCAAAAATTTCCGCGCCATAAGAGAGAAAAACATCTCTTCCCTTAATACCAGTACACTCCCCGTCAAAAATTTTTCCAAACCGAATAAAACTACTCTTTAATCCCTTAAGTTCAATTTATCATTATCCCTCAATCAAACTTAGTAAATCCTCACCCGAACATCACAAAATCCAACAATTGTATCACCTCATCACCAAATTAATTCAACTCAACTCTATTCACATTCAAAATTTTCCGCAAGAGGAGAAGGCGTACCTTCCCCTGACACCAGTACAGTCCACATCAAAAATTACCAAGACAAACCAATTATCCATCGATTACTTAGACATTATTATTCACGAAAAATCAGCCAAAATCCCACCAATCTCACTCCTACAATTATTTTAATTCACCCTTACTTTATAAATTAACAAACAAAACACAGTACCAAAAAACTCCCAATAGATTATCCTCTCCTCTCCTCAAAAATTCAACTAGTAAACATTTCCTTCCCCTCTTTTACAACTCTAACATAAATCATGACAAACCCTCAATATTTTTAACTCTCTATCTCATACCTGGTCAAACTACAGTCAACCAGCCCGTAACCCTTACCATCCGAGATCCTGGAAAAACCCATCGTAAACGAACCGGCAAACAAAACAAAATCCAAGAAAATATTTTCCCAACGCACTTCCCCATTAAACAAAGACCAACGACACAAATAACAGAATATTACAATACGCAAACGCCCAAATCCTCCTATCGCATAAAAACACAAAAGAGAAGCAAAACACAATCATATCTCAAAGCAAAAATTATTCCCTTGCAAATTCCCTGACCGTTTATAAATATCAAAACTCCTCTCTCACCAAATACCAAGTACACTCTGACAAAAACTCTGTAAGCTCATCACAACGCACAGCAAAACCATCAAGAATCCCTATTATTTCCTTTAATTTCCTTGAACAACTTTCTTATTACTTAAAGCAATGCAATTATTAATAAAGATCAATCTAACTCCCTGTCTATTTCTCTAACCATTCTCTTTTCACAACCCGAATTTCTTAACTTCATCTCTATAATTTCATAAATTTCCTATGACCCCGAACCCCAAAATATTTTCCAATAAACTCCTTTTTATTTTTCCTTTTAAAGAAAAAGAATTCCACACAACCAAACCAGAACAATCTTAACGCGTTAACAAGTCCCGCATTTTACCCGTCGTCATTCAAGGAAAAGTCGTATAATCTCACCCGAATATACCTACTTTTTCCTCGGAGTGTACCGACCCAGCGCAAAACACGTAAACATCTTCCTACAGTTCTTTCAGAGCATACATCGCTCAGACACTTACCGCCCCCCGTTTACCACTTCATACCGACTTTCTCTTTTCCGCAAAATATCTGACCTTCAACCAAATCCCAGCTCACAGATTAGGAGAAAAACTTTTCCCTTCGAACACGTTATAATTATTTCAGAATACGTTAAGAAAACTAATCAGAAAAACCAATGATCAATTCCCAGCCAAATACATTAATCAACGACCATCGCATGAGTCAAGATCATTCAATAACCCATAGAAAAGTTATTGTATGACAACTGATTAACAACGTTCCCTGACAAATATCCCTCAACTCTATCCCTATCTATGGCACATCAAAAACAAATCTATCAAAGAATACTTTCCTCTCGATTATCCATATTCATAAAATAAGTAGAGATAATAAATATTTCATGCAAACAAATCTAAAATCAAATTGCTTCTTCCTACTCACCCCCACTCATCCCTTTTGTCTCTCTCCTCACTGTTGTTTACTGGATCGTCAAGTCCCATATTCCATCTCTTTCCATTCCAACATCCGGTATGCTTTCCACGGAGACATCGATTGTTTCGAATCAAATCCAAGCTCATTTCCCAACCTTTCAATAGCTTCGCATGTCAAAATCTGCATACACCTGAACATTAAACAAATAAATTATCCCAACAATCATAAATTCAGAGAAGATACAGTTTTCAAAGAAGGAAGACTCAACCCTTTACCTCATCTCATTAATTCTGTTCCTCTTCTTCCGACAAAGCAATCTCCGAAAACGATCCTTCCCACGACGTATCAGATAAAGTGACGACTGATAGCGTACTCAATGACTTCCAGCTCGCCGTCTCATATCCAGAATCGTCATTAATTAATGTCCACTTGTCCTCATTAAACATCCTTCCCTCTACATCACCTTTCTCATACAGACAACAAACGAAATTCACCGAGCACATGTCAATTACCCAAAATTCTCCGTTTCTCATTTAAACATAATGAATAACAATTCTCCACGATTAAATAATTACCCTTGAATACTTTTCTACCCTTTACTTTCCATATAAATTCCTTCCAATGACATAAAACCCCTCTAACGCAATCAAACATGTTCATCTGCATTTCACCGCGACGCGCAATAAATCCGTTTAATCCAATAGATTCTATCCTTTTCCGTTCCGCTCACTATCAAACTCCTCCTTTCTCAACGCATGCGCCAATCAGACAGTTTACCGCCACGGGTTCTAACCCCGTTTAAATGGCTATCCCACAATTATCTACCTCGCTTTCCGCTTAGAGATAATTACATTACAATCGAAATAAAATAACAGAGTCATCAGTCACCATAATTGAGGTTAAATTGTAATTAAAATCAAGA